AAGCACTAAAATGGTCTGACTTGATGTAATCAGCACATCATCTAAAAACAAAGGCATCTGGAGGGCCTAGTCCATAGGTTCCCACAGTGGGCAATACCATCCTTTAGGGGGCACTGGAACAATACAGGCAGGCGGGAGTAGCCTCAATTGCAATTGAGGGGCATTGAATAAAAATAAAGGAAGGATAAGGAAAGAAGAGCATTTTGAAAAGCCATTCATACACGTTTTTTCTGTTGTGTAACAGTTATAGTCATAAAGATTACATTATTTTCCAAATAAACACACAAAATGCAAGTTATAACTGATCAGTGGTCAAGTTCGCCAACAAGTCTTAACAAGCAAGTGTTGGCAGGCGAGCATGTCGAACATCGTCAGGAAGTCCAGCATGCATTGGCAGGAATATGTGCGTGTAATGACTTGTTTACAAAGATACTAAACGGTTACATGATGCAATATTGCATCATCAAAATTTCAATGCAGGAAAAACCCCACAAATTTACAATAAATTATTAAATTTAAGATGTGTTATTTTAAAAAATATTTTATATTTTTTGAAATAACACAAATTAAAAAAAACACCACCTTATAGGGTTAAAGAAAGTAGATTTCCAGGGGGGCACTGAATATATCTATTTTTTAAAGGAGGCAGTAGGCCAGATAAGTTTGGGAACCCCTGACCTAGTCCTTTTTCATTTACCTTGTGCAGGATATATTTTATGGCTCTGATAAACACTGGTCTAGCATATGTTTCCATTTTATGTCTCATTTGACATCAATAGTCAGTCACTGAAAAGAGTTATCTCTGGTTGCACTTATCAAGGAATCTTGAATGACATTAACATATGTACAATGAGACACTGGGGTAGGACTTGGGAGGGCATATCACGAAATCAATTAGTGTTCCTAAGACTGTATTTTCCGATGTTAAATACAAACACATAAGCACATCATACCTAAAAGGGTGTTAGGCAGTTCTCAAATGAAGATATAAGACACTTGCCAACCTACCACTTCCTGGAGGTAGAAGGTACAAAGGTATTACACATTACATGTTTTTGGACTCTCAATGTATTCATCAGTTATGCATTCTGCCTCTCTAAAAATATCATATGGGATGGTTCTCTGGGACAGGGATGGGGAGGGTTATGTGAGATGACTATTATGACATAAGAAACAGAAAATATCAATAAAAACTTATTTTTAAAATGTGTTATGGTGGCCAAGGGATTAGTGACTGAAATACCTGAAATACTCAAAAACAAGGATTATTTGATAATGCACTAAGTTGTGTAAGTTTGAGAACTGTTCTATTTCCTCCCTAATATTTCATTGGCAGGGGATGTGACAACAGTATAACCCATGCTGATTATCTGAGAACTGTCACAGACAATTCAAGAGATGTGAGAAAAATGGAGATCCGAATTATGGCCCCTTCTCTGACGTAAAACAAAAGTAGAATCTAGAGATACTGTCCTCAAAATGTGCCATAAAGAAGTTAAAGCTCAAAGCATATATGTATAAGAATCTATAGGAGGGGTGCTTTTGGGGGAAGGACAGAATGGTACAGGGAGATAGAATAATGCATTTTTGCATCCTGGGAAAGGAGAGTACTACATATATAGATCCTGAGAGGTATCTGGAAGGTTCATTTGTGAACAATCTACTACTTGCTTCTGAGTCATGAGGGCCAATAATGCTTCTTTGACACATCTTTGAAAGTCTCATCTCTATAGAGAGTGGAGGCACTGCCTGGAAAATGGGACTGAGGGTTGATAGAATGCACACTTATATTTTTTTAAAAAATATTTTTGCCATGAAAATAGATGCCTCAGGCTCCTGGTCCTAGCTCTGACAGATCCCTGCCTTGAAAGGCAGTTGTTTACATAATTCTACTCAGGAATAGTTAACTTATCTTCCATGTTTATATAAATGGGACTACTTTTAACTTTGTGGGTTCCTGCAGGACAAGTTCTCCATTTTGAAATTCCATGTAGCAAACACTGATAATCTGTAAATTGTTGTGCACACTCAAAAAACGAGTACAAGGGCTAAAGTATGTCACAAGTGATTAAACACAAAGTCTTTGTAATAGACTATCTATACTTCATCATAATAAAAACGATAAATTCATGTTGATAGTTATAAACTTTCTATTACTTCTAAGTCTACACTGTACTAAAAAAAATCACCTTACTGAATCCTAAAAATATGATTTTTTTTTTACCATATTTACTTTTATTTTTCTTTATGAGGCATCAGCATGCAGAGCAAAGAGGGAGAGACTCAGTGGTAGTGGTACAGAGTACATATTCTTTTTCTGGGCTAGACACTCAAAATATTGCCATAGTGCTTTAACTTTTCACCCAGCCTCCTTGTTTTTAGTGTCTACCTTCAAATACTGGGAGTCGCAGGCAGCTAGGATAATGAAGGGATAGAATTGTTCCCATCTCATTGGCAATCTTGAACTCCCCACCCCTACCCCAGTTCATGGTTATTTTAGACATGGAAAAACATATTCCCCTCAGAGAAAAAGGCTAAAAGTTTAAATGCTTTCCAATTTACATAAATGAAAATACTTATTCCTTTGACATACCCAAAATAGTAAAATTCCCTTTGTCTTTCCCTACTGCCTCTTATTTCCTTCTCTACCATTGCTTTCCTTTGATTTACATGCTATGTAGATCTAAAGTAATTTTTTTTTACTCCTTGATCAGTTTTATTCTGTTTCTTATTTTAAAAGCCAAATATTTCTGTCAAAACTAAAACATTTATTAGGCATGGTGGGGTAGACCTGTAATCTTTGCCTGGGACAGTCTGATGTTGATGGATCACTTAAACTCAGGAGTTCTGAGTTGCAGTAGGGCTAAAGGCAAACACGGGTCTACACTAAGTTTGGTACCAATATGCTGAGCCAATAGGGGAAAAGGGAGAAGGGAATGGAGAATCTGGTAGCATCAGAAGGGAGGAATCAGCCCAGGTCAGAAACTGCAGCTTGCACACTGATCAACAGCAGAATCAGGCCAAGGTCCTTGTGTAGCTATTGCACGTGTAGCCTGGGCAAGATGGAGATTCACTCTCAAAATATTTTAAAAAAAAATAAGTTCCTTCCTCTTCGCAGCCATTGATTACTTTCTATGCTGTAGTCCAAAGAGAAACGATAGTCCAACACTCCTAGCACAATGGAGTCACTGGGACATTTTTTGTGGCAGATAATTGCCAATAACTATATTTTAGGTGAGAACATTTATTGAGCACTCATTTTGCTTAGTACACACACACTAGATGCTCAGGCCTTTGGAAATGTTAATAAAAACTGAAAACATAGAAAAGACTAATAAATATCTACAAGAGCATGTAGATGTCTTTAGAAACTTGAGACATAAAGAGGTTGGCAGCTATTATCTATGTACAATAGTAAATATTTTCATCCCTATAATTTTACACAAAATGTTTTTATACTAAATAAAAATTATGTGTATATGTGTGTATGTATGTGTATACATATATGAATATATATACACAGATATGTATATATCCTATTAAGGTTAAGCTCTGGTTGGTTCTAAAACTTACTGAAGTCCAAGACTGGTGCCAGATGACATTAATCTAGAGTCCAAGGACCAGGCTGGCTAGGTTTAGAAAGGTTCACCAGGTGATTAACCTTTCTTTCACCATAGCAACTCATGAAATGGCTAAAATGTTAAATGCATAAAGTAGGTATGGTAACATTTTACCTATCTGGATCTTTATATGACAAACCTCCCTTATCTGGAGAACTTTTCAAGATCCAGGAAGTAAGCAAAAAGGCCTTTGAGTAGCAAAATATAATTAATGCTCCAAAGTGCTTCAAGTCCTCATTCTAATTCAAAGAAGCTTGTACAACAAGCAGCTTTGCAAACCCACAGATGAAGGTTGGAAATAGGAAATTAGATGAGGGATGGGATGGAAAAAAGAGATATGGGTAGTATGGGATATTAAAAGCTATATTATAGGTAGGCAAAGAAAAATTTTAAAAACTGAAGACAAAAAGCAGTTCAGTTAGAGTTCCTCTAGCATAGGAGCCAAGTAGCTATTTATATACAACTTTCCATACTTTAACAAGTCCTAGCTGGAACTCAAGGGTAGGGGTATATCCATCATTATATTTTGACAGAATACAAAAATGGATATTCATAATGATGACCTTGAGTCTAAGAATGGTTTAATTATGTTCAGGATCAGGGAAGTATGTGAAACATTTTAGAAAAGTTTCCAAAAAATATGGTTCCCATAAAAATCGATTTTGACTTCAATGGATAAGCTTTCAGAAAATTTGGCCAACCAAGTTCATTCCTCCAGGATCTCAGAGGGTTGTCATTTTCTTGTATAATTTCTAAAAAAAAAATTTACTGGATACTAAGGACCAATTAACAAGACAAAAACCTACAACTTTAATTCATTAATGATTGAAAAACTCAAGAAATGCAATAGTAAATCTGATTATTAAAATATCATTTGGGAAATTATAGTAAAACATTTTAAAAGGAAAAATGAACATTTTAAGAAGGGAAAAATTTATGGAAAATATGCTACATCAATCATATACATCAGGTCAATTTTTTATAAAATTAAGTACTAAAGCAGTCACAATAATCCCACCAATCTTCCAAGAGGACTGATCATTGATTTACCTTTTTTCCAATTTGTTACTTGAGCTGTTCCTTGTGGAACGCAAACTTTTATAAATGTTGGCTATCACTAACCTTCACTAGCTCATTTCATTTCATTACAGGAATTTACAAATGAGCTCTGTCATCTTTCCTAAGAAAATCCCCTGCTATCTTATATCTTCTATCCACCACAGTTCAATGTTTCACTCTTCTACATTTTCCCTTACAGCTGAAATGGGAAATCTGCCAGAAAAATCAAACTGCCTATGTTCCTTTAGGCTAAGAAAAAGTATGGAAATTATGGCAACCAATTATTTCTCGTACAATAAGGAGGGTCAGACAAACATTCAATTGTGGGGGAAGTTCAGATTTCTGTAAAAGTTATTTTAATGCAGACACTGAAAATACCACGGAGATAAACCACATATGACAAAATTTTTACTAAATGAACAAAGCCAACACCTTCCCAACCCCAAACTTGTCCATCAAGCTTGAAGCAGTAAATGTCTTCCAGAAGTATTCAGCCACCACTGTAAGACAAAAAAAAAAAATAATAAAAATTAAGTTTTGAATATATTTTATTTTAGCCAATCAAAATAAAACAATAAAATGAAACTAAAAAATAAGCATACTTTTATATAAATGAAAGGTTATTATTTCAGAGACAGTCTTCACATTAACACAAGAAACCCAATATACAGTGTCATTCACTCATTCACTTATCTAAACATTTATTGAACATGATAGGCCATAAAGAATCAGTTTTAATAGCCAAAAGGTACCTCAGAGATCTAGACTAGTAGATCAAGGGTATGCCAATGACCTAGTATAGCCTGATTTTAGCAAAGCTTCTTATAGTATTCTCAAAGATTTACATATGAACTTGAGAACATTATAATAAAGTGATGTTAGGGAAAATGGATCTGACTGGAAATGCTAGTAGAATAAATTCTAAGACGTCAGATTATATATATACACACACACACACACACACATACATATATATATAATTTATTTTAACATATGTGTATATAAGTATGTATGTGTGTATATGTATATATATGAATTTTTACAAGGGAAAAAGCTGCCTTGTGGCAAAAAGGTCAGCATAATCAAGTCTAGCTTAAAAGGTCTGTTCCATAGTTAAAATACAGTTTAAAGTTTATCAACGTATTTTAAGACTTTATTATAAGCACAAGAACTTGAAGTAATTAACCTGTATCCCTATTAAGGCTTTACATATACCTTCAGGAAATGATGGTATTTATCTATTGTATGTATTTTTGCTTTGTCTAACATACCTATTTTTCTAAGCTATACCAGTGACTCCTTTAGATTTGTGTTAAGTCTAGTTCTGAAATCAAATGTTACCTCTGCTGTGATGTTACCGCTGCATCTCAAGTCCTGCTAGCTTATTTGTATAGTTAAACCAGTATATGCTCTTGTCTACCCTTGAAGAACAGATATGGCAGCTTCATAACAGAGACTATTCTGGTTTGCATGTATTTTGTTTTGAAATCATTCATGGACGCAGAAACTATTCTGAAGAGTTCAATAAATTGGCTAGTTAACTACCTTTTTAACCTTACAAGACAGGTGGCCCTATCTTTGAAGGAGATAGGGAAATAATGATTCAGTTGGAAAGTCAGAAGCAGATTATCTTTTCCCTCATCCCCAAACCAACACACATACAAACACACAAAAACCCTGGTTAAATAATTGCAAAAAGATAATTAATAGACTGATGGAGGATGTCCTCTAATATATGGAAGAGATCTCTAGTGGTATGCCAAAAAAAGGTGGGAGGATTGGGGGGGGAGGTGACAAGAGTGTCTGTCCTGTTTAATATTGTTTTCCTAATGATTTCCAGAAAGATATGATACACTTATAAAATGTTCAGGAGAAGCTAATAACTGAATGACAGGATCAAGATTTAAAAGCCTAGGTTTAAAATTAATAAGATGAAATTCACCAGGGAAAAATTAAGTCCTACACTTAGGTTCAAGTTAGTAAGCTACATAGATGGAATAGCTAGTGTGGGAAGAACTAACTACAATCTCAATATGAGCTAATAGCATAACTGACAAAAAAACCTTAACAATCTTAGGTTATATTAATAATAAAAAGATAGTATTCTGGAATAGAATAGTCCTTTCATATACATATAGGGACAGTTAAGACCATGGTACCGCATGCTTAGTGATATAAAAAGTGTTAGATTCTTAAGAAGGACGTTGACAAACTGGAAAACATCAAAAGATGGCCAATATTAGAAGCTAATGTTTATATGGTGTACTAAGGTTTGGCGAAGAGCTTTATATACCCAACAGCTGAAAGAACTAAGAATATTCAGTCTCGTGGAACAGACTTAATAAAGAAAAGATGACTGTGATCCAAATATTTGATGTGCTATATTATGAGGAAGACTTATTTGAGAACTAAGTATCAATGAGTAGAAGCTACAAGGAAGCAAATTTCAGTTCAATATAAAGTAGGATGATTCTGATAATTAAGATAATTCAAATTTATATAATGCCTTAAGGTTTACAAAGCACTTTCCCCACAATCCTGGGAAATATAAAGTACAAAATTATCCCCATTTTACAGATGGGGAACCTGAGGCTCAGAGAGATGAAAAATTCTACCCCATGATAATACAGCCTAGCTAATTCTAGCTTGGACACTTACTGGCTGTGTCCATGGATAAATTATTTCACTGCTCTGAAACTTAGTTTTCCCTCCTGTAAAACAGGGAGGTTAGACAAGATGATCTCTAAGGCCCCTTTATAGCATCCTTTCAAAGGGTAAGTGTCAGCTAGAAAGTATGAACGCAGGTCTTCTAGAAAGTATGAACGCAGGTCTTCTGACTCTTTTTAGTATAATGATAATTGCTAACACTTATACATATGCTTTAAAGTTTGACAAAGCTTTCTATTTATTATCTCATTTGTTCCTAACAACCCTGTGAGGTAGGTCCTCTTATGATCCCCATTTTATAGATGAGAAAACCAAAGGTCAGAGAGATAAAGTGGTTGGTCCTGTGGTCACACTTAGGACTTAGATGCAGGGCTCTCCTATGTCAATATGCTTTTCATTATTCCAGGTCTCTCCTTAATTCTAATGAAGTAGTGACCTTAAATGAATACGGAATAGACTACTTTTTAAGGAAGATGACCTCCCTACCTTAACAGGAAGTGTTCAAGCAGAGCTTTGATAGACAATTGTCAGGGGTATTGATGAGGAAACTGTCTTGCAAAGGTTAGGCAAGGTGTTACCAAAGATCCCTTCTAACTGTATGATTCTAAGATCACACATTAGCTGTCTTTTATCTAATTTAACTCATGTTAGAAATCTATACAGCATTTATATTCACTCATTTCTCAACATTTATAAGATAACCTCCACTAATAGTAGTACATTAGTCTGTTTGAAGTAGGACAAAGTACTCAGTATGAAAATTAAATCCAGAATGTCTAATTGTAATCTTTCAGCAGATGGATTATAGAAAGGAAAATGATCAATATGATAGTTATAAAGGACAAGGGGAAAATATTCCATATAATTTCCAATATAGACAGTTGATGTATATATATTATTGCATTATGAAGCCACACTACCTTTTATTAAGTTCGTGAAGTCATCTATCACATAGCACATATCAACTTTAAAAAAAGATTTTTGTGGTATACTCTTAAGTTATTGCTGCCTATTAGTAAGATTACTTTTCTCATCAGAAGTCAAAAAAGTAGACTTGATAATATTCCATTTATAGGTTATTAATTTCTAAAGGATGAATATAAGACTGTATTTTTACAAGTTAAGATACAATAGTTAACAATGAACATTAAGGCTAACAGACTTTTAAAAATACTGACATTTCATTCAAATGCTTACAAAATTTAAATATACTTTCAAAAAATAACTTATGACAAATATGAAAGCACTTTGAGAACTATAAACTGATTTGTATGTTATTTTTAAGTACAGACTACACATGAAAACAAGTCCTCAGTTATACCTAGTTAACTCAAATAATTACATACTTAATTCCAACTAAGAAAGTTTATTTGATAAAAGTTACTTACACAATGATGTTATTAATAGGGATATGGATCAACTTAACAAAAAAGCCAATGAATCCCATTATAGCAAACCCTATTGCTGTTGCCATAGCGATCTTCTGGAATTCTATAATTAAGAACACAGATAACTCACTTTATTTTCTTTATACTTTGAATGGCATAACAAAAAAAAAACACCACAATGGTCAAGCATGATGTGTAATACATAACTAAAAAACAGATTCACTCTTGGTTACTGGATGTACAAATTTAAATAAAATGTGAACATACATTCAAAAATAGTCAATTCCGAGGTATCACCTCACATCTAGCACCCTAGCCGATAGATGACAAAAGATGGAGATGGTCAATATTAGTGGGATTACGGAAAGATAGGGACACTAATAACACAAAGTAGGTGGAGCTGTGAATTTGTTCATTCATTCTAGAAAGTAACTGGAAATTATGCTAAGAAGTGACTAAAATCTCTGTCTCGTGTTCCAGAAATCCCAATATTTGATATGTATCCCAAGGAGTTAAAAAACAGAAAGGTCCCAGATATAAGAAAAAAAGCTGCACTTTTTGAAGTAGCAAAGAACTGGAACAATGTAGTTGCCGGTAGACTGGTGGAATTGGTTTAACAAATTATACAAGAATGGAATGGACTACTATTAAGCCTATCATAAGGAATGAAAAATAGGAAGAATACAGTGATGCAAAGGTAAACATAATCTGATGAAAAGTGAAGTAAATGGAACCAAGAAAATGATAAATATGACTACAACAATGCAAATAATAAAGAACAAAAAATACTGAAACTGGATACAGATATTTGATCCCAAAGGAAAGATATGAGTAGACCCCTCTCTCCTTTCTTTGAAAGATTATGGGTGTGAACCACTGAATAATTCTGTTGATGTGATAGTGAGCTTTGTGAAATTATGTTTTTGTCCTTTTTTATTCTGGGTTACAAGGCAGCAATCTTTTTGGTCCCAGGACCCCACCACTCTCTTAAAAATTTAAGTCCTCCCCCCAACCCTGAAAAAGAGATTTGGTTAACTTGAGTTACAGATATTGATATTTAGCAATGTTACAGATTAAAATGTCTTAATATTTTTACAAAAATCGTTTTGATTTCATGGACACCCTGAATGGGTTCTTGGTCCATCCACACTTTGAGAAGTGCTGTAACAAGGTATAGTTTCAAGTGGTAGAGGAAAATGAAGGTGACATAGAAACAAAAGATCAATAAAAATTAATTTTAAAAAATTGAATAATGAAGTTTGCTTAATTCATTAATTCTTTAGTTTTGCCATAAAACACCTGATACTTCCAGAAAATACAAAAATAATGTTCTTATTAGGATTAGCGATAAATTTTTTGCAATAAGCAAATATATATCCAAATATAAATCCACAAGATGACAGTTTAAAATACTAAAAAAAAAAATTGGAAATGAAAGGATAAATTGGTTTAGGAAAAACCAGTACTCGTCTGAAAGACTGGTAACAATGAACCAGAAGGTAAGTTTGGATTAGCATAATTTAGGCAAAGAGACCATATTCACATACTTGATAATAAATATAATGTTCTAGTTTAGGAAGAAAGGATTTATTAATAGAACAAATTCCATTATGCATTCATTGTTTAATCTATTTGCTGTGACTAAAAATAAAAAACCAAAAACCAATTAAGGTATTCCAGAAAAAGAAATATGGGAAGCAGCTACTTAAAAATTTTATAATAATTAGACGACAAAGAGAAGAGTTAATGAGAAGGAAGGAAAATCTGGGACTTTCTTTTATGCTGTAATGATGAAACTAAAAGAGGTATACAGATTAGGGGGAAGAGGTAGGTACTTGTAATTGAAACCAGTAAGTACTCAGGCTAGTAATACTCTGTCCCCAAGAAATCCTACAAAAGAGAATAAATAGGGTGAAAAAGGAATTAAAATGTTCAATTGAGAAAAGAATGCCAAGGAAATTCATAAAGATAAAGAAGAGATACAAATAAGGAAAGTTAAAAACAAAAAACAAACAGAGGGAGGGGTAAACAAAAGTAAGAGTTAAGCAAGTGACTGGAAGCCTTTACCTTTTCTATCTGGCTTGGTACATCTTTTGACAAGTCGAATTGAGTCCTTCACAAACTGCCGACTAGGTTCAACAAATTGCATTACCTGATCCATGACTATCTGTTTAAACAAAGACACAGTAAATTAAATTAGCTGTATGCCAAATGTCTGCTCATTTGGTTAGATCACAGCACTAATGAGGTCACAGTTAGGAGGCCAATTAAGATTGAAAAAGGTATTTCAAAGATCAGAGTAGAACTGGAGATACAGGGGTACAGTTACAACATGATCTCCACTTGGGACTATATTTGCAACCACCATTATGAAAACCAGCAATGCTGATGAGACCCAAGAATACAATCTATTGGCAGCTAGATGGCACAGTTGATAGAGCACTGGGCCTGGAGTCTGGAAGGCCTGAGTTCAAATCAAGCCGAAGACACTAAGCTATGTAACCAAGAGGCAAGTCACTTAACTATAGTCTGTCTCAGGTTCCCCCCTGTAAAATGGGAATAACCGCACCTACCTTGAAGGGTTGTTGTGAGGATCAAATATTTGTAAAGCACTCAGCACAGTACGTGCTATGTAAATGCTTATTCCCTACCCCCTTTAAGTTCACAGAACTCAGAGACCAGAAGACTTATGGTATAGGTGGGAGGTAGAGGGAGAAGGAGATGGGTGAGAGGGAGGTGGCAAATCTGGAAAGGGAGTTAAGGAGGAAGCAGGAAGCTCTATCTGAAGGACTGTTATGATGACTATGCAAAATATCAATTGATATAGAAACAGTGCTTCAGTGGATTGAGCCCAAAGACTTGGAAAACTTGAAAATTCAGGAAACTTGAGTTCGAAACCTGCCTCAGATACTCAATAGCCATCTCCACTGCCCAACCTAGCTGCCCATACATGTGTGTATGTATATATGTATGTATACACACATACACACACACACACACACACACCCAGACACTAGCTATGTGGTCTTGGACTAGTCACTCAACCCTAGTAACCTTAGTTACATCATTGGTAAAATGCCCTGGAGAAAGAAATGGCAAACCACTCCAGTATCTTTGCCAAGAAAACCCCAAATGGGGTCACAAGGAGTCAGACAGGGCTGAAACGACTCAACAAAAACAAAATATACATGTGTGTGTATATATATGTGTGTGTGTCTGTGTGTATACAACTACACTATATATAGTAAATTACTTTGCATTCTTCACAGATAATATAGTAAGAAGAGACAATCACTTAATCGTTTAACTTAATCACGTAACTGTTTACTCATCTGTAAAATGGAAATAATATCACCTGTTTCACAGAAGGATTAAATGAGTTGTGAAAATTAAATGAGTTAACCTAAGCAAAGCACTTCTGCAAATTTTAAAATGCAATAAAAATGAAAGTCTTATGTTACTGTTATTATTAATGGTTTACAAAGCATTTGACACACATCAGCATAGTACAGTGGGAAAAGCACTGGATTCATAGTCAAGGGACCTTAATTTTAATGTGGGTTCTGAACACTGCCTGTGTGACCTTGGGCAAATCACTTCAGTATCTTAGTTTCTTTCCTTATCTGTCAAATGAAAGGGTTGTATTAGAGGACCTCCAGTCATCTTCAAAGTCTAAATTTATGATCTTAACAGGTTTCTACCAATTATGATTGTAGAATACACTTGAGTTATAAATCACATAGGGTAGGTATATGGGTAAAGAAGAGTGTGGGATAATTCAAACCATCTCCAATGTCAATTTTGACAAGAGGGAGCAAACTCTGAACCTTTTGATTAAATTGTTAAGCTCACTGGCTTATTTCATTCATCTGTAAAACTGAGGAGGCTGGACTAGATAACCTCTAAAGGGTCTCATCCCACTCTAAAGCTATGAAATTAATACATTATACACTTTACCTCTTAATGACCTTGAGCCAAAGATTCCACTATCCTCTTAACAACTCAGAATTCTATTTCATTTGTAGGTGAAATTTGTGCTCCACTTCTACATACTATCTATAAACCAGTATCTGAAGCACTGCTTAATCACTCAAGTTTTAGAGGTATCCCTATCAGAGCATAGGATAAAGGGCCTCCCCTTCCTTTTCAATTAAAATTTTTTTCAAAATATTAAATTAATATATATTAAATATTATTAATATATATAAAAACATGCCATCAATACTTAAAATGAGAGAGCATTTTGTAACCATATCATCATCATTACTTCAATATGAAGCATCCTTCAAGTATTTGCTCTTTCACTGGAATATTTCCTTTACATATGTGGGACTTGGAGTTTGTAAGACTTGGGTTCAAATCTCTAATATTTTTGAAACTGTGGGCAAGTCACTTAACCTCTGAACCTCAGTTTCCACAGATATAGTATAGGGATAACAAGATCTGGCTCATGTTTGTTGTAAGGCTCAAAAACATAGATGTAAAAAGCTATGCAAACCTTAAAGCACTCTATAAATAAATGCCTATTACCACTGCAGACCAAACCTCTACAATTCAGCACTCTTAGCTGCTACAGCTAAAAAATGTGCTATCCTGTGCCCAAATTGGCCATGAGCCTCTCTGATCCATTTCTGATAGATACTATTACTGTTGTTACTACTGATTATTACTACTGCTACTACTAGACGTTTTTCTAGTTCGACAGGGAAGGAAATAAGCATTTATATAGCATGTACTATGTGCCAGGCACTCTGCTAAGTGTTTTTTTACAAACAGAATATTCCATAGATTGGAATAAGCCAGCATAGCTTTCAAAAACATGGGGTCACTTCTATACCATTATGAAAGAGTAAGGTTTTATGGAGTATTACTATTCTCTGAAAATCCAATCAAAAAATTCTCAAAACACTTTTTTTTTTAATGGTAGGCAATGGAGTTAAGTGACTTGCCCAGGGTCACACAGCTAGTAAGTGTCAAATGTCTGAGGCTAGCTTTGAACTCAGGTCCTCTTGACTCCAGGGCCTGTGCTCTATCTACTGTGTCACCTAGCTGGCCCCTCTCAAAACACTTTGAGAGTTACCAGTTCAATCAAAGCCCATGCAAGGCCTGAAGCTTAGACTCTACAAAATTACTTAGTATTTTATATGTGTATGTACACTGTTGGTCAGTGGTGTCCAAGTCTTTGAAACCTCATTTTAGGGTTTTCTCAGCAAAGATACTGCAGTGGTTTGCCATTTCCTTCTCTAGCTCATTTCACAGATGAGTACAGAGGCAACCAGGGTCACCCAGCGAGTAAGTGTCTGAGGCCAGATTTGAACTATGGAAGAAAAGTTTTCCTGACTCCAGGCCTGGTGCTCTATCCACTGCCCAACCTAGCTGCCCATACATGTGTGTATGTATATATGTATGTATACACACATACACACACACACACACACACACCCAGACACTAGCTATGTGGTCTTGGACTAGTCACTCAACCCTAGTAACCTTAGTTACATCATTGGTAAAATGCCCTGGAGAAAGAAATGGCAAACCACTCCAGTATCTTTGCCAAGAAAACCCCAAATGGGGTCACAAGGAGTCAGACAGGGCTGAAACGACTCAACAAAAACAAAATATACATGTGTGTGTATATATATGTGTGTGTGTCTGTGTGTATACAACTACACTATATATAGTAAATTACTTTGCATTCTTCACAGATAATATAGTAACTGCAAAGTAGTTTTGTATTATATACACAGTGTATATATAGTATTATATAGGCAAACTGTTTTGTGTATATAATCTTTTATGAGTTTAAGTGTTGTTTTCCCCAAGTACAACCCAAATTTCTCGAGAGGAGAGACTGTTTTTGTCTTTCTATGCCTAGAACGTAGGGAAGAGAAGTGCCTGGCAAAAAGTAGGTTTGTTAAAAGGTTGTTATTGTTTTTAAATGCTTGTTGAAATGAATGAATTTTGGGACACCCTATCCTAAGGGACAACAAGGAAGAAGTGTAAACCTGTCCGATAGGCAAGATCCTAAAAAAGATGAAAAACTTGGTTCAATCCGTTGCCAACGAAGGAGTGCTGCAAGCCAAAAACATCAGTGCCCGGGCCCGGGTTCAGCCTGGAATCATCCTTATCAGGCAACTTCATTCATACCAGAGAACCTGAGCTTTGGGAGAGACCTCCGAGATGATCGAGAGCAACCCCCCCCCACTCACGGGAACTGAGCCTCGGCGTGACACGCCTTGCCTCCAGTCACCCATCGCCGGCTCCCCTGGCTCCCCCTGTGACTCCCCCAGCCCCTACACCGCCCAGGAGGCCACCCCCGAGGGGCCCCTCTCCCCGCCCCGTGCCCTGGGGTAGGGGCCGCTGTACCGTGGCAGGAGACGAAAGTCTCCAGGGCAGGCCCACCCCACACAAGGACGCCACGGAAGAGGCCGAGAGGGCGGCGACCCAGGCCTGGGCACGGAGCCCCCAGCCCTGCAGCAGCGCGGCTCGCCAGAGGCCGCCCTCGCCCTCCGGTCCGCAGGACGGCGCGGAGCGGGCTCTTCGCCGCCACATGGGGCCGTCCTGCCAGTGCGACCGCCCCAAGGGGCCGAAGCCCCGGCCGGGAGGCGGAGGCGGAGATGGAGGCCGGGCCGGGCCCGGGGAGTCTCTGTCTACCGCACCGCCAGCGAGCCGCGGCCTCCGGCAGAACCGACGGCTCCTGGCGGTGGTCCTTGGCCCAGTGCGCGTCACAAAGCGCCGGGGCGCGCGTGCACCTCAGAGCCCACTGCCCCTCGAGACCCCCTCACCTGCACAACTGATGCTCCAAGCCCAAAGGACACGTAACCACTCCGAGGAAAGCTGACTACCAGGGGCAGAACCGGAAGCTGTCAACCATTCCCCCGCCCTCCCAAACCGGTCACAGCTCCAACGGCAGCACACGCTTGCGCAGACGCAGAACGGACGCGACGCGTGCCTGCCACGCAGCTCCCGGAAGTTTCACTTAGACCAAACCAGTTGTTAGGGTCGGGTTGCTGTGGCAACTGCTCGGCCCCGCCTAATATTCGTCCAGTAGTCAGAATTTTTCCCTCTCGCCGTCTCACTTTCATGAATTTTGGCTTCAGGCGGCCTCCGTTCTCTCTCCTTTCTCGGGCTGCCTGCGCAGACTCGGAGAGAGTTTGAATCTCGCGGTGTTTAGCCGCGGCCAGCGCAATTCCTACCAGCTGTGTCCTTAAAGGAAGCTTAGTGTGGGCTCGGGATCACGGCTGCCTTAACCCCTGTCTGCACCCGTTTCTCGATTTCCCGGGAACCTCCCTCTCTCTGCTTGGGGCAGATTATGAAGCTGAGGGGGCTCAAGGCACCCTGCTCTGGGGGGGGGGGGGCAAACAGTGACTGCCCTCGTAGGGGGCAGATCAGGAGCCGGGCCTTGAGCTGAGGTAGTCGAAGAACGTCCAGACCCCTTGGCCCGGGCGGAACAGACCGCAGTGGAGTATTGGCGGCGACGTCTGAATTATGAGACCATAATCTGAAAGCTAGAAAGGACGGTTCTCTCATTTTACATAAAATAAAACAGGCCTAGAGAGGGGAGGTGACTTGCTCTTTCCATCTCACTCCCACTCCCCAAATGAAGGAAGGAAGGTGGGCCGGAAACAGGCATTTATTAAGAGGTGCCAGGCACGGTCCTGAGGAAAGGAAGGGAGCATCCCTCCCAAGCTGCACGATGGAAGAGGAATGTCAAGATACCCTGACTGGATTGATGGAATTAGGCAAAAAAAAAAAACCGCAATGATTAAGTGGCTTTTATATGCTGTAAGGTCCGGAGTTCCCCTGGCTTTGGAGCCCTGTACCTCCCCCATAACCGTGGGATATTCTTTTGATGCCGAAAGAAGAGGCCACGGATCTCTAGATGGATCATAGGTGAATACTTACAGACAGGGGCAGTCTTCGGTCTGGGGTGAGAGACAGTTCTGTGGATCCCCGCTAAAGAACCCCAAAATCCTCATAGTAATTATAGAAAACACGAAGGCAGGAGGAGCTAGAAAGTGTATCACTACTGATTGGTGGATACTTTTGGTTTTCTGTTTAGTAAGGAGCTTGGGAGTTTAGCCAGTGTTATGCCCAAACATGTTTATGTATATTGATCATTTCCTGGTCACAATATTCATGTTTTGGCTTTCATAGGTCGTAGTATCTTAAGTTTTGACTCAGTGCCTAAAATATAATTGTAAACAGGTCACCATGTCTGGCCTCCCACCTTTCACAGAGTTTAAGTTTTTGTGGCTTTTCACTTATTATTGTATTTTAGGTTTGTTTAGTTCCCCACCCCCCCCAATCAAGACCCCACATATGCTAAATGCTTGGGATAAAGAAAGGCAAAAAAAGCTGGTCCCTGTTCTTAAGGAGCTCACAGTATAATTGGGGAAAACAAACAACTGTACAGCAAGCTTATAGCTTGTATACAGGATGGAGATAATTAAGACACACAATAACACACAGGCAGTATTAGCCACACTGGAATTCACAAGACAATAATAGATTTAGAACTGGAATGGACCTAAAGGTCACCTGGGACAGCAGAAGGCCCAGAGAATGGAGTGACTTGTCAACACGCATTAATTAAATGCTTAAAATATGCCGATCACAGGATGAAATGATAAAAACGAAACAGTCCTTGCCTTTAAAGAGCTTATATTCTAAAGGATGTACATGTATATGTTTAATATATACAAAATGAATGCAAAGTAATTTGGGAAGGGAGGGAAGCCAGCACAAAGGGAGCTCAGGCCAGGAGGGGTGGGAATTAGGAAAGGTTTCATGCAGCAGTGGCAATTGACCTGAGTCAGTAAACAAAGCCAAGAATTATGCTAAGAGCTAGACACAAAAAAAGGCAAAAGCAGGTGACTGCTTTCCAGGAGCTCATGTTCTAATGGACCTTGAAGGGAACCAGAAATGGTTTAGAGGTGGAGGTTGGAAGGAACTGCCTTCTAGGCATAGAGGTCAACCAGTGAGGGCTGAGAGAGAAATCTTGTAGGCAGAAAAACAAATATAGGTAGTAACAGAGAAAAGGGTTGAACCTAGGTCATAGAATCACGGAAGAGATCTCAGTGACCACCTAGTCTACCTCGTACACTAAAAGGAATTTTCACTATAACAGCTGACATCATCCAGTGAGGGGAAATCCACCAGTCAATCGTACAACAACCATTTGTTAAATACTGAGCTAGGCACTGTGATAGGTGCTGAAGATGCAAACACAAGCAAAAAGAGTCCCTGCTCTCAAGGAGTTTATTTTCTAACGGAAGAAGACAACACAGAAGAGGTGGCATGGTGGCAAAGTCCAGAAAATTAGAAGCAGAGCCAGAACAAGAATGAAGGCTTGCCAGGTCTTTCCCCAAAAATGGAGGCCAGGAGGAACTCACCAATGGAACAAGGGGGCCACAGGGGGAGGGGGACAAGACAGCCCATTCTACTTTTGAATGGCTTTATTCGGAAGTCCTCTGACATCAAGCCTAAATTGACCTTCACAACTTATACCTGTGGATCCCATTTTTCTGGACAAACAAAACAAAACAAATCTAATTCCTCTTCCATCTGACAGGCCTTTAAATATTTAAAAGACAGCAATCAAATTTCCCCTTTGTCTTTTCTCCAGGGTAAACCTCAAATTGTTTTTGTTTGTCTGTTTTAACTGATCTACTATGACAAGGCTCCACAGCAATCAAGGCAATCTTTCCCATCCTAGTTATCCTCCTCTGGGATCTCTTCCCTTAGCAAACTGTAATGCCCAGAATGGAGCAGTGCTCCAGAAGTGGTCTGACCAAGGCAGAGCACAGAGAGACTATCTCCTTAAAAAGAGGATAGTGGACCTGAGGGTCCAGATGGTAGATGGGGATGGGGTGTCAATGTCCAGCCGGGATCAGAGAAGAGGAAGGCGGTGTCTGAAGAAAGGATAGGGGAGAACCATATAAGGCACTTGCTCCACTCTGCTCTGCTCTGTGGCACTCCCATTCCGGTGGAGGTAGAGGATAGGCTTCTTGTTGGCTGGTTCCTGTTCCTGATGGAAACTAGATAGCAAGTATTAATTGATAAGTACATGGATTTTTCTCAGTCCTCATTCTTCTTGACCTCTGCAGCTTTTAACATTGTTATTCTCTCATCATGCACCCTCTCAGCTGTCATGACACTTGTCTCCTAGTTTTCTTCTCTACATATATTCCACTTCTCAGTCTCCCTTGCTAAATCATTATGGAGCTATGTCCCCCAACCCTAATCTTGAGTGTCCAATAAGGCCCTGTAGTGAGCCTCTCTACTACTTTTCTTTTGATGATCTCATAAGATCTCATAGGTTAAATAATCTCTTTGTATAAAGACTCCCAGATCTCTTATATATGGCCCAAATCCTTCTCCTTCACTCCAGTCCTGCATAACCTATAAGGCATCTCCAAGAGAATGTCTCTTAGGCATCTAAAATTTCATCATGTTGAAAATTGAACTCTTCCTTTTGTAAATTATCTTTGTTTACCTGGTGTTTATTAGGCAGGGTTTGGTAATGTTCAGGGAGGACTAGTACCTCTGATATGAGGACTTGCCAAGCTCTTTTTAGGGCTGTTCATCCACCTTTAGTGCTCACCTGTCACCGAACTCTCACCTCTGACTCCAAGAAGCTGTACTGCAGCATGCCTAGCTGCCACACCCTGGTAAAACCATCTTGGCAGACTGGCTAAACCAGGTTGAGGGTAACTGATGGGCCTTAAATCCTTTCATGAGTTAGGGGTTTGTTTACTTCAAACATGCAAAGACTTCCTCCCCCCATACCCTTCCTGTGGAATAAGTGGATGAGAACAGTTTGTTCCAACTTCATGAAGGTGGCTGAAGCAATCACAATTGAGCACCTGACCAAGATTGGTCAGACATCAAAGATACCAAGATCATTCACTGCATCACAAGCCACCATCACCAGTCATCTTGACTTTTGTCTTGCCATTGGACTTTGATGACTCTGGAAGAAAGAGTGAGGCTGATGACTGTGCAACACTTCCTCACTTGAATCCAATTCACAAAGACATCACCCCATGATGCCATTGGTCCTCTCTGAAAATGAAAAACAAGCAACAACAGCCTATTAGATAATAAATTCTTATAATATCCTAGGTTTAGAACTGGAAGGTACGTAAGCCAGTAAGCCTAACCCTTCTTCTCCCCTCCTCCTTTATGAGATAAGAAAACTATGGGCAAAGAAAGTTTAAGTGCTTTGCCCGTGCTTAAACAGGTAGTAAATTTCTGAGGCTTAATTTGAGCACATGCACACACACACACACACACACACACACACACACTTTGTCTAATCCCAGGTACAAAAATTCCTTGTTACGGCACTGATATTTCACAATTTTCTCCCACTGGGACATTCAGGCATAGTACCAGAATCTATGGTCCTATGTTTTAACAGGACATTCATCAAACTGTTTACACCAAACGTCCTCTAATCTATTATGGTTAAAGGAGGTGGAAAGCATAGGTTTTTGGGTTTTTTTTGGCAGAGCGTAAGCAAAACCCAAGGAGATTTGGGTTATTTGATACTTAGGTTGAAGACCTATTCTGAGGAATACTTTGCCAAGTATTTAACCCAATCTATTAGGACCTCATGATCCATAACAAAACCATGCATTTCTCTGGTGTTTCCATTTAAGACTCAGATGTTTCCTTGCCTTTTGTGGAAGATTTTTCGCTGAGTAAATAGGGCAATCTTAATCTTACCTACACCAGCTGGGAGAACACAGGCAAACCTGTGTAACCTACCTCAGTCCTTTCATGGCCCACCCACTCTGCTTGTTTGGGAGGATTTGATCAGGGTGAGAGAATCACAAGGGCATCAGTTGGCAAGGCAATCAGAACTTTTCCAACTGGCTGCATCCCAC